CATCCAGCATAGCTATCCATTCTTGAAGGAAGATGGGAGGTATGATAATGATGATAATCAGTTGAAAATTTTCACTTGATTAGGGTATCATTGGAACAAACAGTACCAGAAAGAAAAAGTATGGACAAGACTTGCAAGAATCGTTGAATATACATAATAGTGATACCCAGGTTGATGGGCAAAACAGAGAGGTTGTCAAGCTGAGAGAATCATCAAAATAATAGGAACGCCCCGCCCCGTGACTCACCTAGGTATTATCATTTATTATTATTACATTATTATGGAGGATTATTATTAGTAGCCGTGAACTATTACTATGGATGCTGATAGGTACCTAAATTACCAGTGGATGCTGAGATGTACTCGGTACGTATCATACTACGTCGAGAGTGGCTGACTAACTTTCCTGAGTGGCCAAAAAGAAAAAAAAAACACTTGCTACTACTGTATGGACGTATGTACCAGTACGCCTGGGTGCTGCCACCATCATCGATCTACTGTAATTTCCTTGGACCCCAGTGACCGGCGGTCGTTTCAACATCTCTCTCTCTTCCTCTCTTCCTTCCTCTCTCATTCTCTTTTATTCCTTCCCAACTTCCTCTCCCCCCCTCGGTTCCTTCCAATCTTGTCTACTACTTCACCCTTTTCATCCGACCTTAACTCTTACTCCTCCTCTTACCTCACTTAATTCGCCTTTTAATTCCGTCCTCGCCTGACCTCGATCTCCTCGTCAACCCACCTAATCCTCTATTGCCCTCTTTCTTTCCGATTCTGTCACCTACGGCCAACCATCTGTCCACCATTCGGCTCACGACGGCTTCTAGTCTTTGCCCCTGGTCTCTGACTTGACAAACACATTTCCATACGAGCGTGGTCGAGCACCGGCGTCCGCGCATAACTGCTGGTGTATCCGATCACGATTCATCCAGTCGCCACGGCCCCCGAAAATGACGAGCAGAATCCCCAGAAATCGATCGTTTCCGCTATGAGTGATGTTGAGACTGTCCCCTCCTTACCAGCTACCCTGGATGCCGGCCAGAGTGCTCTCGCGGTCAAGGTGAATCACCAGTCTCCCTCCGGGCCTCCCTCGCCCAGGAGGGTGTCACTGCCACCCATCCCGCGAGGGAATAACGGGCCTTCGAAGGAGTCTGCGCCTGCTGTTGAGGAGGGCGATGGGCCAGCAAGCCCCAAGGCTGACTCGGAGGCAGAAACTATTATTCAATCTGGCCGTGAGTCGTTGTCGCCAGAGAAGAGACGAAAGTACATACAACATGAACCGAAACGACGTAATGATGGACATGACCTTGTGGATAGCGATCTTCCCCCAAATGATCTGCATGTGCGAAAGCGAAATTCCCCGAACGGTGAACTTCACAATGAACGCGACCGTGCGGATGCGCGCCTGTCGAACCTCCACCGGAGGACCGAGTCGCCACCCTCGATCGTAAAAGTTGAGAAACCTGAAGAGCCCCAAGCTGTTCCTCCCAAGGTGGATCTTCCTAAGGCTTTCTCTGCCCCCCGACCACCACGGAAACGGAGCTTCAGCGAGAGCGTGGATGGGGAAGGTGAGAACGGTCGCTCTATGCGCCAGAGCAGCTCCGCAGCCCCTCGACCACGGGAACGAAAGGATTTGAATGGCATTGTTTTCCCTCGGCCAGTTTCGCATGATCGCTCGGCTTCCCCCACACGCTCGTCCCACAAACGGTCTGCGTCTGGGACCCAGCTGAGCGCTGGGGACCTGCAGCGGAAGAAAAAAGCTCCGACTCCTCTTATGACCGGATTCGCCCGGCAGAGCTCAGAAGATCGACAGTCTGTATCATCGTCAACCAGTGGCTCACCATTACCGAGTGCGTATGCCCGTAAACTTGGATCGGTTGATGGTGCTTCTGCATCCCCCGCTAGACCTATGGGTCATAAGAAACAGCGCGATCAGAATGGTCGGACTCGTTTGGCCCGTGCGTGTGCCGCCCAGGAACTGGAGGTCGCCATTGCGAGACACGCAGACCGCCCCGAGGATTTGAATGTCGCAGATAACGCGGGAAATACTCCCCTGCAGATCGCCTCTCTAGAGGGGTGTGCACCTATTGTGAAATTTCTCCTTGAAGCCGGATGCGAGATTGATACCAAGAATATCGACAAGGATACGCCGTTGATAGATGCGGTGGAGAATGGTCACTTGGACGTCGTGAGGCTTCTGCTCGCGGCTGGCGCGAATCCTCGTACGCTAAATGCGGAGGGGGATGAGCCCTATGAGCTGGTGCCTTCTGACTCGGAGGAATATGACGAGATTCGACGGGTAATCGCAGGTGCCAAAGCTAACCATCGACCCAATCGACGTTCCGAAGAACGAGCAGGATCGGAGATCAAGGAGCCATCATCTAGACGGATCTCTGCCGAAAGCGCACGCGAATCACCACCAGTCCACCGGCAGCGGAGCCCTATCAGCACGACAACGAAGCGTAAGACAGTCCGAAGCGAGGCAACTCGAAACGATCTATTATGGACGACGGCCAACTCCGAAAATTTGCAAGCGTTCGCTGCGAAAGGTGATATGGTGGGTGTCGCCAATATTCTGAATGTTGGACAGAAATCAGATACCGAGTCGATGATCGCTGCCGCCAAAGGCGGTCACGATGAGGTCATGTCCCTTCTTCTCGGGATTGGCGACGCGAATCCAGATCCGGACCCAATCTATGGTGGCTCTCAAAAGCCTGGTTACAACACGCCGATGTTGGCAGCTATTGGTCGAGGAAATCCGGCCGCCGTGCACATCTTGCTCGACCAACCCCAGTTTAATCCCACCCGGAGACCCTACAAAGACCGTACCTACTATGAACTTTCTCGGGAACGCAAAGGTGATAAATGGGAAGAAGAGTATGACATGCTGCGAGAAGCATACGACAGCGCCATGCGAAACAAGAAACCACGCAAGCAAGAAATCGCCTCGCCCCGCCGCCCACGCGATAGGGACAAGGAGAATCGGCGACCCGGGCGTCGAGACTCCGCGTCTCCTGTCGCCCGGCCCAGGAAACCGGTAGAACCTAGAGATGGCCCTAGGGATGCAAGTTTGCCAAAGGAGCGGAAACGAGAGAGTGTGGCTCACGTGAAGGACAAGCCAACCCCTCGTCCCAAACTCTCCCATGCCGGATCTGATCCTGATGGAACTCGTGTGGAGTCAACAAAACTGAAAGCTCCGTTGTCAGCAAGGGATGGGGACTCCAGTGGACCCAGTCGCGGAGAGGATGCACCGAAACGACGACGGCTAATCGCTGGGAGACCACCACAAGATCGTGAGCGCAGGCGGCCCAGTTTGCCTTCTTCCGACTCACTGTCGGGTCGAGACGAAGGCTACAAACCGCGCGTGGACCCTGCCGAACCTAGTAAGCCCGGACTTACGGCTCTGAAGCGTGGTCGGAGCAGTGCCAGCCCTGAACGAGCCCGTGTTACCGACCCTGACCGACAAGCTCGGGAATTGCAAAAGAAGAAGAAGCGACGAGTTTTGTCTGAAGAGGGAACCACAAACATCACGAACGGTGGAGTTAAGAAACACTCGGAAGATATCAAACCCGCGGCATCTAGGGAAGATGACCGCCGTTCGGAGCCGAGGGCAGCTGCTATGGCGAATTCCAATGGAATCGACCGCGTCACTGAGCGAAAGCCTGTCAAAGAGGAACAGGAAAAGCACGAGGTCAATGATTTGGATGATATTCCTATGGAGGATGCGCCAAGTGCCTCCCAAAAAGCTGAAGCCGAGGCCCAAGAACGCCGTCAAAAGGAAGCTCAGCAGGCCGAAAAAGAACGACAAGCCGAGGAGGCACGTATCGCTGCGGAAGCTGAAAAGGCCCGGGCCGAGAAAGAAGAGGAAGAACGCGTGGCGCGAGCAGCGCGACTCGCCCAGGAGAAAGCGGCCGAAGAGGAACGCAAGCGCAAAGAAGCCGAACAGCGACGGATCAAGCAAGCCGAAGATGAGCGCCAAAAACGACTGGAGCAAGAGAGATTACGACTCGCGAAACTGCGCAGGGAGCAGGAAGAGCAAGAACAGCGCAGACGGGATGCACTCCCCAGTCGACTTCGGATCGCAGCGAACCTAGTCGGTTCCAATGACCCCCTCGCGCGGAGTCATCTGTGGTTGAAAAAGTTTATGCCTGTCGTGACAGCGGAGACTCGACAGTTGGATCCCCGGTGTAGCCCCGACGTGGCGGATGAGAAATGGGTGCCCAATTATTTGGTTGCGCCGATATTGGCGACAAACGACCTCCAACTTTCTCAGTATGCCAGTTGGGAGAAACGCGACGCGACCCAAACACAACGGGTGAACCTGTGGCGTGTTACACGAAGGATGTTGGTCCAGGCCGATGACCGGGAATTCATGAGCTCGTCATTTGGACAGGTCATGCAGAAAGACAACGAAACCCGGCCCAAATACTTCGACATGGAGCATGTATTTTGGGTTAAGGTACGTTCTCCACAAAATCTCTTTGCGTTATTCTCACAGGCTAACCATGATCTCTCTAGTTGTCTGACTTTATGGACCTCGTCCCTCATATTCCGCATCTGCACGGGTTGGACCTGCAGTTTCTGAAAATGCATATTGATGAAGAACCCACGGCGCCATCTGCATTCGAAATGCCACAAGCAAATGGGCATTTATCTGGACCTCCACCTCTGGAGGAGCCCGCTGGATTTCCCGGCGGCTTGAAGGGCCTTACCAATGGCTTTGGTCACCGACCAAGTACATACGTCTAATGTTTTGCATTCATTCTGGCGACTATGAGTCTAGTGTACAGGGAGGAGTTTTAATGTATGACTATGATACCATGAAGTCTTTTGAAATAGATGCCTTGGCCATCTTGATTGAATCTTGCAGTGTACACCGTAATTTATCGAAATTTAGAGCACTTTTATAATGTATAAACATAATTGTTTGTTTCCAACTTTTTTTAATTTTTAATTATCTCTACTTCCCATTCGTTCCAACAGGACGAAAACCAAAAAAAGGATGCCTTCGGTCGGGATCGAACCGACGAATCTCCCCATTACGAGTGGGGCGCCTTACCGCTTGGCCACAAAGGCAGCTTCGTGAGCATTGGATCACTAATGCTGTCAACAGTCTAGAACTGTGATGATAGTCACCAAGATAGCCTTGTTCAGCCTGTAATCTTTGTTTCTCATTGCTGATCAGTTGTGTTCTCAGAAGGCCCTCTATTTCCCGTTCTCTCCTTCATTATTCCTGGTCCTCTGCAACCGCGAGTTTTCCGAGATGATGACCAGATTCTGTCGTATCTTCAAATCTGCCAGCGATGGTTGATTGCCAGCGACCACGTGACCCTTACATAAACGGGCTAGGGCACACGATGACCCATAAAAACGTTTAGCGAGAGAATCTACATCCACACCTGCCGCATCACCACCACCATACATATCCCCTGCAAGAAGCATCTCACTCTTTGAGGAAAATCCGACACAAGAGAAATTCAATCGCAAAAATGGTACGCCCAATCCCTCCTATCATTTTCCCTTCCATCCTTCCTCCCTCCTTTCCCCTCTCCACGAGAGAAAACAAACTAACTTCCCTTGCTCTAGTCGGACGGAGAAGAGACTATTTCCAACCCCCCCGTTGCCGCCGCCGATGAGGTCGAGGTCAGCGCCGACGCCGGCGCCGGCGGCCAGATGTCGGTCCTCGATGCCCTGAAGGGTGTCCTCCGCATCTCGCTCATCCACGATGGTCTTGCCCGTGGTCTCCGCGAGGCCGCCAAGGCCCTGGACCGTCGCCAGGCTCACATGTGTGTTCTCAACGAGGGCTGTGAGGAGGAGGCCTACAAGAAGCTTGTTGTGGCTCTTTGCTCCGAGCACAAGATCCCCCTGATCAAGGTGCCCGATGGAAAGATGCTCGGCGAGTGGGTTGGTCTTTGTAAGTGACCCTCGCTTTTTTTTTTTTTTTTTTGGGAAGATATAAGGGAGTTGGGACTAATCGGTGTTTTCTCTCTACAGGCCAGCTTGATCGTGAGGGTAACGCCCGTAAGGTTGTTAACTGCTCTTGCGTCGTTGTTAAGGATTGGGGTGAGGAGTCCCAGGAGCGCTCTGTTCTCCTTAACTACTTCCAGACTGAGCAGTAAATTTTCAACTCTTGTTCCATATTAATTTATGAACGAGACGGGCAAGGGGAGAGGGATGAAGGAATACAGCCATGGAATGGAAGGGAACGGATCTAGGGGTTACGGTCACTGGGTTTTATTTTTCTGGGTCATGTCATGTCTTACCTTGGTCTTTTTCCTCCTGTGGGGGTATGGACTTTCGGGTCTATACGAATGAAATAAATGCTCAAAATTGGTCTGCGTAGTCACTCACAAACGTAGATTGTTTTATCAAGAAATTGGTCGTTGGGTAACAACATAGATATCACAACAAAAACAAACTGGTATTGGAATCAAACAATGTAGTCTGGAACATATACGAAGAAAAAGAGTATCTGAAGGGGATCGATCGCCAAATTGGACAGCTGAATGTGAAAGGGAAGGAGAAAAAGCAAAAATATAGAAGGAAAAAAATACCGCTATGCAATTCAATAATGAAAGCAATCACCAAACGCCTTTCATATGCTACCGGAATCCATACGATGGACGGACCATCTTCTTCGTTTCGGGGGTGAGGGACAGCTGTTGATACGGAGAACTTCCAGGATCATAGTAGAGGCCTTCGACGTGGCCGCTCTCGCGGTGAAGAGATATGTAATAGAACCCCGAGATGGTGAGGCCTTGTCGGGAGTCGGTAGGGGTGATGAAACAGCGTTCTAGACCATGTTAGGCAGGGGGGTTTGACTAGATATTACGACGCACTTACCCTTCCATCTCATCAGGATCCACCCCTTGCACAGCTCCTCTGTAAGCCACTTCCGGCTCACTAGGTTTCTCGTCATCTCCTCATCCGTAAGGTTCTTGAACGGCTGCAGCTCGCGCCAGTAGGTACTGTCGATGTCGGCGTCGGCCTTGAAATTCTTGGTTTCGAGTGTGTGCGTGTTGAAGTCGATAATCTCCCCTTCAAGGAAGGTGATGATATGGGCATCGTGTGAGGGAAAAGTCTTGTCCGGAATGTTGTACGCCTCCATCGTTCCGGATAACGTCATGTCCTGCAAGTTGATGTTGTGGATGGTGACCTTAACCGGCCAGTTCTCATCTTTGCCGGCTCCTAAATTATATATGTTGTTGGCCAAATACCGCCGCCCGGTACTCGTGTACACACTGATGCGGTTGCTGCTGCTGCTGTTGTTGCTGCTGCTGCCGCTATTGTTCTGTTCGCTCCCATTGACAATCATCGGATCATGCGACAAGGGCGAGGTTGGCACCCGTTGCGAAAAGATCGAATTCACGCTGCTAGCAGCCCGTTGGGAGCCGGAGAACACCATCCCTGGTCGTAGCCAGGAACAGACCGGCGGCGGGGAGATCGAAGCAGTTTCCAGAATAAAATCATCCTCATCCCAAGGGAGAAAGTCAAGTTGTACGAATCCTCCTGCGGCAGCTGACGTCAAACTTTCCTCCAATGAATTTGAATCTCGCAGACGATCCAAATACTTGATCGTCTCTTTCAACCGTGGGCTTGGCGGATTTTCCACATGCATCTGTCGATGGGCACTGATTCGCGCGCGCAGGTCATTGTGCGTTAGTAGTCGATGTGGTTCGCCCCGGCTGCTGGGAATAAATCTATATGCTCGGGAGGCGGCCGTCGGTCGCTCTCGACTCTCCTCTGCATCCTGTCCTGATCGTTCTCGGTCCAAAAGATAGTTGTGTAAGGTCCGTGTTCGGGAAAGGCGCTGGCGTCGAACGGACTGTAATAAGGCCTCCGTCGTTGACAGGGAGGGCTCCCGAGACTCTCCCGGGAGATGAGCACTTGTTTCTGTAGAGTCGTTGGAAATGGTGTGGGAAGTTGGGTCGCGACGCGCATGACGCCTAGAGGTAGCGTTGCGATCGGAGGATAGGCCAAACCATGAAGAGATGGAAGCGCTGTCCTGTAGCGGTTCATATGCCACATCATCTTCACCGTCATCGTCATCCTCTTCAGAGGCGGGTGCCCAACCATAGAGCGACCGGGAATTTGCGACTCGGCCTTCGTAGTTGGGCATATTGGTGGACGGGTTGCCGTGAGTTTCGGAAGGTCGTTGCCGACGCACGATGGGGATGCGACGGTTGATTTCCACGGACATTAGATTTGTTGGGTCGTCTAGATCCATGGAGTCTACCTCTAACTCAGATAGGATTTGTTGTCGGCGACGACGGTGGCGACTGAGTGAGGAGGAGGTAGTCGGGTCAGGAGGAGAGCGTACACGAGACCGCAGAAAGCTCACGTTGTCATCGTGTGCATCATCGGATCCCGAGGCGGGGAGAGAAGGAATGGGGATGGGAATGACGGCGGAGGAAGGCGAACGAGAGGGATCCTAGAATTAAGAACAACGCAGGGAAAGAATAAAATTAGACTTATTAGGTTCAAGTAGGGGATGAAGATGTATATTTGAAGAAAATGAAAAAAAACCAAAAGAATAAGGAACAATTTTAAAGAAATCTTAGACCTAAGGTCAAGGTCACGTTGTCGGAGAATGCGATTCCCACCTGCGCCTCTTTTTTTTTTTTTAAAAAAAAAGAAAGAGACCGTGCGACAACCGACGATCTTTCAGCAAGGGGGAAAGTGGGACAATAATAATAACAATGCATCTGAAGGAGATGAGATACTACATACCAAAGGTGTATTTACTGGAGGCATAATCTGAGGTCAAAAATGCTCGGATATCCAGTGTGGCGGAATAGGATTGAACCCGCCAAGGGAAATCAGGTTTAAATCCCACAGGGTTGAATTAAGATGAGAATTGAGGGAAAGGAGGTTGAGGAGGATGAAACCGAGGGAAGGGTTATTTTTATAAATATGGTATGAAGATGATGAGGGAGGGAGAGGGAGGGAGAGAGAGAGAAGGAAAGAAAGAGAAGAGAAGAGAAGAGAATGAATGTATGAAGTACGGAGTAGTTACTTAAAGATGTAATGGTGATGATGATGATGGGGAATTTTGACTAAACATGGGGTTTATTGGAGGCAGGTGGAACCATCACTCCCAGGAGGAAGGAACCATGGCTGATAATCAACTTCTTCAACCTCTCCCCTTCCAACTCAATTCAACTACTGACTTACTCCCCCCCTCTCTACAGTCAAAATCAAAAGCAAATCAATCAATCCTTCATTCGCTCTTCTCAACTACCGACCTTCAACCCCGACTTTCACCCCTCTGCCGATCCCTAAACGCTCTTTCGCTCGATTCATCCTGCACAGGAGGTTACACAACTTTCATTGCCTGGAGTTTCTCTTCCTCTTCATCTCGCTCTTGCTCTCAATTCCCGAGCTACCAGATCCAGATCTACAACATCGATCAAGATGACGACATTACATCATATCTCTCGTCTTCATCCACTCAACTCGGTAATTTTCCTCCGGAGCAACTCCGACATAGAGAAGATGCCCCCCCCACGTGGGATGCCATCGCATGATGGTCCCTTTTCTTCTGCTTCTTCTTGGACACTTGTCCAGTTCATCTCCCTTCGATTTCTTTAATCGACCTCTTTCTTCTCCCTCTCAAGATATACCTGAAAACAACCGTATCAGGTGTCAATTGAATCACCATGGTCAAGATCAAGTCCATCGAATACTTCCGTGTCCTTCCCCGCTGGCTCTTCGTCAAGATTGTCGATGAAGATGGTCAATATGGCTGGGGTGAAAGTACCCTGGAGGGTCATACAGAAGCAATTGAGGGAACCCTGAATGCCCTATGCAAGCGCTTCATCGGTTATGAGGCCGAGTATGTTTAACTTAACACCCCACTATTACCCCATGCCAAGAATCTATTCTAACCACACCCACCCCCGCATTCAGTGACATCGAACATATCTGGCAAATGGCCTGGCGTCTGGGGTTCTACCGAGGTGGTCCTGTATTCATGTCCGCAATCTCCGGAATTGATATCGCTCTCTGGGATCTCAAGGGCCGTCGACTCGGTGTGCCTGTCCACCAGCTCCTCGGCGGCAAAGTCCGCCATAAGC